AAAAAAAAAAAAAAAAGAAACAAAAATGAACAAAGATGGGGGAAAGAAAAGCAGAACCTACAAAAATGGAATATGTAAAAAGATTCAAGCCAGTGAAGCAGCTAAACATGACGGCCTTACTCTATGAAAAACTATTTACTTGAAAAGTATCTGAGTTCTTTGAATTCAAAGGGAAGTTCACGTACTGCCATAATCTAACCCCTGTCTATCAGAAAAGGAATCAGTGTTTAAATACCTTCTGCTACTAGAGTTGAAGTAGGTCTGTCAATCATCTCGGGTCTAGCGGATTTGTGTCAAAGAACAATTCACCCATACTCAATTCGTTTATTAATTTATGTCTAATGAATCCGGCTTACCAACAGTGCACGAGTATACTCAGCATCTGACAATAGTTTAGAAAATGAAGGAGATTCTACCTCTACGCTCTATTCAATACGGATACAAGTTGTGTTAGAGCACAGGACTTGTAGGCAATTTTCATATAGAAATTCAAAGGGAAAAAAATCTCTGACAGCCATGGAACAGATCTGAAGCAAACTTCCCATGGTTCGTCACAGAACAATGATTTACTTCATGGGCGAAGTATCTGGTTCAAGTCGAGAATAACCCAGCTGAGACAGGCAAAAGAATAGAAGCATCATCATGCAACCAAACCAGAAGTGAAAGTGAAGATGTTCCCCAACTGTAGCCAACTAACATCAGAGATAATATTGCTACTAATGGTACAGCAAGACGGCATATTATTTTTCATTCCAAGCACGGACCAAGAATATTCTTCAATATCATCGATGACAGAAACATAACATGTCGAATGGCCATATTTCATACATGTTCTACAATAAAAGAATCAATTACAAGCAAACAAAGGTAAAATACATAGTAAAGGAAAATTTCAGGTTTAAAAGATGGTGGTTGCTTGGAATCCCTAATCTATTTATCTTCCTACTGTTTTTCTCTTCATTTTGTTATCAATCGTAAGTGTCTGACATCGTACCAGGGTGCCACAAAACACAAAAGGCCAACAAACAAATTAAGTTCACCAGTTAAGCATGTTTGGTTGGGTAAGGCTACAAATCCGACAAAAAAAATAGGACATTTGAGTGGATACTCATTTTCTGTGTAGATTCCACACTGAAATATCATGGAATTAAAGGCAATGAATGGCTTATGTCAGTAGAAATTCACACGTATATACTTGTTGCTACTAGACGAGATTCAACCATTGATCATCAAAAAAATATTGTGCATCATCCTAATACCTCACAAACATTGCCCCCAAAGCAGTTAAACTTTAAAAGATCAAAGTATGTATACTAACAAATCTAATCTAGATTATCAATAACATATATGCAAGCAATCGGATCAAGAAAATCAACGACATCAAGAAGAATCTCCATTAATTACAATATACAGGATTCTACAAAAAGATAACCGATACCCACATTCAAATATAGCATAAATTCCAATCCCTGATTGTAAAGGGCATGGTCCTAAGCAAAAATATTAAACTCTGAAGAACTAGATATCAAAGCATGTGGACTGCCAAAACAAGGATAAAAGCAGAGTATTCCTTTTTATTATTGCTTTTTCTTGTTCGCTTCTCTTATTTGAAGTATCACCCTTTTTGTGCTGACTTCTTAGTTTTATTTCTAAATTAAGTTTTGCTGGTGCTGATCAAAAGAAAAAAGGGATAAAAGCAGATTATTGAACAAAACCTCATCAAAGTAAAATTCCTTAGTAACTTCCCAATACAACCACCCAATTTTTTTGCCTGCTCTACCTAAGCTTTCAACCACAAGGCAGGTTTACTTGAGCTTAATTATGTTCTTCTCTTGGTGCTTCTCATGTTTTCAAAGCTTCCTTCAAAATGTACATATCCCTATTAGTTTCATTATTCAAGCACTTGTACTACTGGTTTCAATTTTCAACAGCATATCCAGTATGCACCACTTAACAAATGCACCAAAGAGCTAACTTCAAAAGGTCATTCCTTTGCCATAGATAAATCTCAGAGACATAGCAACACAACTTGTTTCAAAACCAAGTAGAAAATGAAGAAAGCATAACACTTTTTCTTTTATTTTTTCAAGAAAGCCAAAAATTTCAACTAGCGAGTGTGCTCAGGTTGCCTTCCCACAAAAAGTGATAAATTTAGCAACAACACTACCATGGAAATTTTCCATTCTGAAAACCCTTCTGCCTCACTTTCCATCTAAACAAAAGCACTCAAAGAAAACAAAAACCTTATATAAACATGCTTATTATGTTGAGTCCAATTCAACCCTTCAACCACAGAGACAGTTATCACCCCAACAAAACTGAACACTGAACTATTAGCCCCAACAGAATTGGATACTACTACCATACCCAAAATTCATGAATGTAGTAGCATTCATCTAAGGCCAGCTTCATATATAACATTTCTAGAAATTTGTAATTCATTTTCATTGCATCTTATGCATTATAAAGCGAGGATATGCATTCCAGTCACACCATAGTGCCTCCAAAAAAGACACATCTGAACAAACACAGAGTTAACCAAAACTAGAACTCCAAATCGTTCCCTCCATACAGATAAAGACATTGTAACTTTCAATAGAACACCAGTTATCCATGTACAAGCAAAGACAACCCACTCCCCCAAACAAAAACCCAACAAAATATATTCTTCTAGAGGAATGCTCAATAGGAAAAGCAGTAAGGATATGGAAGAACAAACAATTTTCATTGAAAACATCAATGTTATAAATCCTCTGTTAACTTATACAATCAAATGGAACACAGAGAATTGTGATCAACCGGAGCTGGACCACAACAGAATACGAGTCTATACATACCTGCACAATAATATCAGATTGGGAAGAAAAAATAGAATTAGAGATCGATGAAGGTAAGGATACGGAATCATGTGAGTAGGAAGCAAAAGATATCTATTTTGATTTTATAATCAGCCATTTTTGAATCTAATAGATGTTCCAGAAAATGTTTGCTATCCTGAAATTTTTGCCATTCCAAAATGAAAAAGAAACATGATTAGGTCAAAATAAAATACAATTTTTAAGTTTTAGCAACACTTTGCTTGCGTAGGTAGGGAAACATGAACTACAGACTGAATATTGATATACCCTACAACAATACATTATTGTTACCGCAAGATATACTGTCAACCGAAGATCATTTGATTGGAATGAAATTTGGAATGGGTACACTTAAAGATTTGAAAATGATGGTATTCTTTCAAAAGCAAATCTTTTAGAAGATCAATTTGGATTGGCTCTAGTTTGCTTAAAAAATAGAGTTTAAGGAACCATAGGTGCAGCAATTAGGCAAAAATATACAACTACTTCTCATAAATTGCCAACTGACGACAATTTCACCACTTTTCATGAAGATACTCCACCTAGTGTGTTCAAAGCTTAATAATGTTTGTTTTTGTCCTTCAGTTAGCTAACAGTAATACTCCATTGGGTGCTTGGTACACGGCCAACAGCCTTGGTCTAGAGAATTACAAAGCATGGAACAACATTCATGCTGTCAACTACTATAAAGAGATGTAAGCAAGCAAATAACTATCAGAGAAGCATGCCTATCACAATTGTTTCACACTAAGCATTAACTCAAAAACTCAGAGAATTTTTATATCATTACCTCCATATAAGTTTTGGTTCCTCATTTCTGAAAACTCAATTCAACATATATTATATCTGAAAATACTATTACATAAGCATGTCCATGACAATCATAGCACACTAATTAGTGCACAATAGTATTCCAAATATTACTGCATAACTTCCCTCATGAAATAAACAACATACCATAACAGGCAAAACAGCCACCACTCAATTCCTAAAACCCAAATTACCTTCACCCATCACTCTGCCACCCCAGTTCTAGTCTCTGTCTTTCCCTCTGCTGTTCCAGACCTCACTTCTGCCTTCCCTCCAGCTGCCCCAGATCTCATCTCAGGCTTCAACTCCCCAGGGCAACAACCATCACCATGGTGATGGTGGTGATGGTGATGATGAGGCTGATGCTTCTTACCCTTCAACTGCTTCCTCATATCATATGCATCCTCTCCATCGGCGTAATACTTCGCCTCCACATCATGAATCTTGTAGCCCAACGTCTCTGTATATAAATTAAAGGCTGCACGGTTACTCTTCCTCACGTGCAGTGACACATACTCCGCACTAAATACCTATTCCACATGAAATCCCAGGATAACTTAGTCATGAAGATGATGAGACTGAGAAGTATTTATTTTTCCAACATTATCAACCAAAAAAAAACCCAAGGTATTTCCAAAGAACCTATGGACAAACAATGTAATCTAGCATGGCTAAAAATAGAAAATTCCAAAAGTTTAAGGGACTAATGAAGTTATTGTTTATTTTCCCAATGACGATGTAAATCCACCAATACATTCCTGAATAATATAAAATGAATTATATGACAAACCCAAAAAATAAATAAATATCAACAATTCAACCATTCGGCCCCAAATACCTCTTCCAAAAGCAGACCTAGGATCTATTCGTGCCAGAAACTCACAACCAAGTATAGAATACCCACAATAATAATGGAGCAAACCCAATAAACAACAACAACCCAATATAAACAACCACAACCCAATTCCCCAAATACGAGAAACTCACAAAACTAAACTAATTCAGTTGACAGGGCTAAAAAGAACACATTTTTCGCTTCCTCAACATCACTGTAAGAACAATATAGTACAACAAACTATTTCCAATGAAACTAGATGAAAAATAAACATGAAATCAATTACCCAAAAAACTGAATTTTCAAAAATTTCAAAGCTCCCCACCTGTTCCATGGCGTTCTGAGCAGCAGTCATGAGCTTTGTGGCAATACCCAATTTCCGATGGGTCCTCAGAACAGCAAGCGAGGTGATGTGACCGTGACACTCCGAGCTCTCCTCCTCCATTTTGGCCAAGACATAGCCAACGATTTTGCCATTGTAGTCTTGAGCAACATAGAGGAGTTGTGGCCATGAAAGGATGTGGTAGAAGTAGTATTTCATCTGGTAGTTCTCTGGTAGGCAAAAAAGGTTGCATGCTTGCATAGCCAGGAGGTCATCTAATGTGGCTTTGCGAATACACACCATGATTACTGGTTTACAAGTTGGTTTTCTTTTGGGTTTTAGGGTTAGGGTTTGTGTGTGTGGTCAATGGGGGAGACAGAGAGAGGAGAGAATGGTGGTATGATCCTGAGTTTGACGATGAGTCCGGTAAATTTGATGGATATAAAACAGTTAATTGGGCTTGATTTTGGGTTGGCCCAAGTTGGTGAATGGGCTTTTTAATTATCTTGGTTGATTTTGGGTTGGCCCAAGTCTAGGCATCGACTCTTTAATTTTCTTTTTAGATTCTTTGAAAGCCGATATATTAAATTAAACTTATTTGTCAAAAAGTTCACATTTAAAAACGTTTTGGAAAAAAGTACAGTACTTGGGTCCAAAGACTGAAATGCTCTTTTTATTATTTTTATTTCTTTAAAAAATGTAATATTACAGTTATCATAAATGCTAAAATTTAGGCTCTATTAATTCAAAATCTTTTTAACTTCCTCAAAAACTGTAATGTATCTCTTTGTGTTCCAAGAAAAAATGGCTGGTCATTACTTTCCTTCCCACCAAACCGCCGGTCTTCATTTCCCCTTCAAAGAAGGTGATTCATTTTCTTTCTCATCCCATTGTTGGTTTGATCAGAGAAAGGGTATTGAATCTCCATTGTTTATCGATTCAATAAGCATTCAGGTTACAAACCCACAATCGATTGAAGAGGGTTTTCATGGAAGTGGATTTTTTGGCCTTCCTTGTTATTGATCTTTGCTCGATTGTGATTTGAAGTGAGTTTTATTCTATATATATATTGTGTAATATGATAATGAGTCACATGTAATCAAAAAATTTAGTACAATACAATTTTTCATTCCCTGTTTATTTAATTGTGTTTTATCATAATGGGTTACATTACACTTCTCATTTTTTTTTGTCATTAATTTCATGTATTAGAACCTTATTTTGTTTGTTTGAATATTGAGTGGCCTCTAATGTTCATCTTTGTTGTTTTTTGGTCAAATTATGTATTGTTTATACCATGAATTGTTGGATGTTGTAACCATTTTTTTTTCAATACTTGAATATATGTGTGAACTGGGTTGACTGAATACATATACACACAAGCGCTTGTTTCAAGGCAATGTAACTAGTGTTTGTGTTGTGTTAGATTATACAATTCATGTTATACTTTTGGTGTTACACTTTATTTGAAACACTTTTATTTTGTTTCACTTAATCTTTTTGTTTTGGTTATTAAACTTTGTTGTGCTGTGAAGTGTTAAGTGACACACTTGTTTATGATTCTTGTGTGTAAATATCTCTGATTACACTCTGTGTTAATCCTAAATGTTGAATGTGTGAATATGACAATGTAAATATATAAAGTGTAACATAGAAAGGGTAACATATATAAAAAATGTGACAAATTTACCAATACCGTGTTTAATAATGGACAATTAGACACGAAACAGTATATTATGTTTATAAGGTGCTGTTGTTGGGTAATAATATATTGTGCATGAATACAAAATATTTATTCCTTGTTCAATAAGAATATGTTTTTTTTTTTTTTTTGTGTATTATCATAATAGGTTACATTACACTTTTTTTCTTGTTTAAGTTTATATATTTGAATCTTATTTTAATTGTTTGATAATTTAAAACTATTTGAAAAATTGTGTTTCATTACACAATTAATGATACGCTTTTGTTATTACACTTTTTTTGAAACACTTTTATGTTGTTATATTGTTAAGTTTACACTGATTTTTTGTTGTTATTTTAAAAGATTTGTGTGCTGTGAATATTAATTGTCCGGGTTGTTTAGTGACATGGTTGTTTGTTCTTATACTCTGTGATTAAACATTTTTAAGATTACATGTGGATTGTGTTCACTTCACAGTGTAATATATAAACTGTAACATGTGAATGGTAACACATGAAAGTGTAACAAATTTATCAAAATAGTGTAATAGCATACTAGTTTACCAACAAAATAAAAAACAGTGGACCACTCCCAAACTTTCTCAATAACAATCCATTAGTGTACCATGTAACACTTTACACTTTACATTTTACACTTTACACTTTACACTTCATACTGTATACTTCATACTTTCAATGTGACATGGAAAAATGAGACACTATTACTGGTTATATTCTGTTTTGTGCTGCATTGATTAGACTATGTTATACATTGTGTTTGCTTCACTTTTTGAATGTGTCATACATTGTTATTTGATTCAGTTATGTGGCTGTGTTATACACTATTTTTTTGGTTGTCTAATTTTGTTTATATTGTTATATTTTTAATTAACCTTTTGGTATACTTTATACATATTTTTTCTTTGTCACTTCCCACCTCAGACCTGTGGTGGGGAAAAAACAAGTCGTGGAATCGAAGCAAGATGCTAAATACATATCGAATTTGCTTGCGATAATTAGAGCAATAAATGAAATTAACATTAGTGAAGCATACAAAGTTGTTTTGAGGAAAACACCATTTTGATTACTATTTGAATACATCATTGACAAAAAACTAGACAGGACATGGTGTAAGAAGAGCGATACTATCATACATGATGTAATTATGTGCTTCGATGATAATAAATCTATATTTCACATTGGTGGCGAGGACATTAAATTGAGAAGGAGTGATGTGAAAATAATTTTTGCCATTGATGATAGACGCGATCCCATGGATTGTTTATCTCATGCTAAGAAAAATACAAAATTTGTTAAAAGGAGATTCAAGAAAGACAGCAGGTTGACATTAACTTTGATAAAGAGCAGATTGCTTGAAGCAACAAGAGGTACAAACAAACATGACGTTGATGACGTTGCAAGACTCCTATGCCTATTCTTAATGGTTACACTATTTTTCACAACCACTGGGACAACTATAGGATGAGGATTTATTTCATACGTTGAGGATATAGATGAAATGAAGAAGTATGATTGGTCAAGTGCAATACATGAATCTCTTATCTATTCACTTCAAAAAAAGAGTAGCAACCCATCTGGAGTTAGTGGATGTGTAATATTGTTACTGGTAAGATATTAACAGCTTGGTTGTATTTTCAATATTGTTTCCTGCTGTCCAATAAACATAATGTAACTCATTTGATTAAATTAAATTTGCATTTATGTGCAGTATTGGCTTTGTGAACATACAAAAATTGTCAAGTCTGATAATCCAAATACAATACCAAGGATTTTGAAATGGAAACTGCCGAAACTTCAAAGAGCAATGAAACAAAGGACACTTGAAAAGTTGAAGTCAAAATATATAAGTTGGTTAAATATAACAAATTCAAATTAATATATCCATCTTACATTATTGTTATATCTTTTTTATGTTATCATATAATACATTTGCATCATAAAAAAGACTGTAATGTCACAATGTAATGATACACTTGCATGTTACACCTGTGTTAATTAATACATACAATCGTATATTTTTAAAATATTGCAAAGGTTTTGAGACATTGATTGAGTAGAACAGCAGAAGAGAAAGTTTTTCTGAAATATAAGAGAAATGAAAATCAAGAAGTGCGCCAATCTGAAATTGAGGGAAAAGCCGAAAGTGGTGAAGTTGAAAAAATAAGTAGGCGAAAAAGGAGAAGAACCAGGTATAAGTAGACAGAAAAGGAGGCAGAATATGCACAGGTGGATGAAGAAGTTTTTGAGTGTGGTGGGAATAAGCAGACAAAAAATAATACATTTTTTGATCATGATGATGATTTGGTGGATGCAATTAGAGGTGATGGACATTTAAATATGACATTTGAATCTCTTCTTGATGCTGCAATGAACGAAGCGATGCACAATGTTGGTATTATAGGAGAAAAAACAGACAAAAACACCCAAAGGCTTTAAAACATATTGAAGGAAAATAATGTGTACAAAATTGTTATAAGGAACATTGTCACAGACAAATGTTATTTGCAGCATTCTCATTCTGTTTATGCTGGTGTTGGGTTTGACAAACAACACTCTACATTCGCATTAAAAATTCAAGAAAAGGAGACGATTATAAATGAGTTGAAAGAAGTTGTTGAAAATTTGAAAAAGAGGGAACAAAATTTTGAAGTAGAAATACAAGGTTGCAAGGAAACAATACAAAATCTAGAAAAGGAGAACACTGAGTTGATTGATCAAATCAATGAATTATCTGTTCATTTTATAACCCAGAAATATCAGAAAGACAACATTACAGGTGAAGATCATGTGGGAAAGGAAAAAATAGGACAAACATCTATGGTTCGAAACATAAAGAAAAGAGATAGGAAACGAAATAGAGATGCAGAATTCAAGTATAGTGGGAAAAAAAAAGGGAAAAAAATATATTGTTACGTCAGATATGATCAACCGTAAAACAGATTTGAGTGAAAACAAATGTGGGAGAACATTTGAGATTGTCGATGACGATGACAATAAGGAAAAGATAACTACCATTGAAGGACTGACAGATAAAGAGATAAAAAAAAAATGTGGCGGGACTATGAAGCATTGAATGTCATTGATTTCAAGAAATTGACGACGATATATAATGAAGAGGGTTATGGGTAAGTGTCACTGTCAACTTTGTTATTAAAAAATTGTTCATTATTATAGAATATATGACAAGTTTGCTTCCAAATTTTATGACATTGTAGTACTCAAATATGATCTAGGTTTGGAGTTGGAAGCGTAATATATGTGGAGGATGCTTTGAAAATAAAGGCACCTTCATGCGAGCTATACAATAACGTACGTATTTGTTAAAAGTGTAACATCTAACTAAATTTTCTAGATATAAAGTGTTTGTTGACAGTGTAACATAGTCTGTATAGTGGAATATGATATTTGTTTTTTAACAAGTCATTGATTGTTGGGTTGATATGTTAAAAGGAATTGATGATTACAATGAGTTGTCCACATTTCAAAGACGTTGTTACTTCATTAATAGTTTTTGTTGGGTAAGATTTATAAATAGCACAATGTAATACTAGTTGTTCATTTAAATTATTTGTCAGTTGTTTAACACCTTATTTTTTTTA